GTTATGTTTAATATTACTAAATCTTTAATCACAATATTTGTTGTTATTGATTTCTGGCTACACACAATTTAACAAAAAAGAAAGAGAGAGAGACGAAACGAAAAAGTGATGCGCCGGTTCGCAATGCCGCCCCAAGCGGAAGTGCGCAGACGGAAGTGTAGCTTGTCTTATCTGTCAATTGAATTTGACAGTTTTAGAAACGTCAAACCGACGACGTTTCCTTATAATATTATCTACTAGCATCTCGCTCCGGCTTCGGATGGATGCAACATGCATGTATTGTACATATAAACCTTCCTTAACTCGTCGAGTACCGTCATTATAAACACAATAATAGAACAATAGGTTGCGGTCACCGGTGACCGCTTGGTGTTTGACAGTTTAAGAATCATTTTATCTATTAAAAAAACCGCATCAAAATCCGTTGCGTAGTTTTAAAGATCTAAGCATACATAGGGACAGACAGACGGCGGATACCGACCTTGTTTTATACTATGTAGTGATACTTACAAATACTACCTCATTTGCCGAGTGGTCGTAAGTACGACTGCTGGGCTGGGTCTCAGGTTCGATTCCCAGGTCGGGCAAAGTATTAATGAGTTTTTAAAATATTCTCAGTAGTAGCACGGAGTCTGGAATTGTGCCCGGTATATGGCAATAGGCTCACCCCCTATTACATGGGACTCATAACTAATAGTATAAAGTGGGTGTTACATTGTACAGTGCTATAATGTGCACCTCTGCCTACCCCTTAGGGGATAAAAGGCGTGATGTTATGTTATGTTAATTGAAAAATCGGCTCTGACTCGACTGACTAACTAGAGATCAGAGAAAAGTTTAATACTGTTTACTTATAATTACACTATGTTCGTATATTTCCAGGCCATCATAACTTCGTAGAAGATGGACACCAGCAGAGTCATAATGATGGACAGCAATTTGAAGACTCACCATAATTACTCTTAATCAGGTGAGGATACTTTTCAGTCAGGCTAGACTTGAATTATTTTATATCCTACAACCTACTTCGGTTTCACCCGTTCTACTCAGCTCCATGTCGTGGTGGTCCGGAGTTTTAAGACACCCCCCTCTCATGCATGAGGGTGCGGGTTCGAAACCTACCAACGGCACGTACCAATGTGACTTTTTCCGAGTTATATGTACTTTCTAAGATTATCATCATGGGCAAACCTGGGCTCCTAGAACCGCCGCAACTCCTGTAGGCCAGGATCTACAGTAGATACAAGAATTGAAAACACCGGTACACCGAAGAACACCGGTGTTCCAGGGACATGAATAACTGTCACGAGTGTCACTCTTACAAACTTGACATCTATTTCTTTCGTCTTTAAATTTTCCAACTCTATTCAAAATTCAAATTTCTGATAAACATACGTCTATCTCTTTCTCCCACAGCGAGTGAGAGCGCTGAGCGAGCAAGAGAGCGCGATGCATCCAGCCAGTAGGTGACGCTGTCGTCTTCACCCGCGGAACATGTCATGGGACTCCATAGAGTCGCGCGACTTCCTAGGGTAAGTTGTATTTTGGGAAATGGTATGAGCAAGCATTAAAACGAGCCTAAACACAAGCTAACTGCTGTAAATCGTTGAGGAGTTCCCTCGACTGTCTTCTGACTTCATCATCAGATCGACTCGACATTCTTTGATGTGTAGTGTGACCTACATTGAATGGGTGGCTTAAAATACTTGAATGAAAATTAACAAACGCGTTACAACTAAACGCAACTTGACCGATTGTTTCTAGTTTTATATGATAAGCTGGTAAGCGAGCAGACGGATCACCTGATGGTAAGCAATTGGCGTCTCCCATGAACATCTGGAACGCCAAAGGCAAGTGCGTTACCGGCCTTTTTGGGATTAGGAGTTTAAGGATTGTTGGGGAGATTTGGGAAGGGGGGCGGGGTTAATTGGGCCTTCTTCTTTCTCCGCTACAACTTCTTTGTCCTTACAATGACAGAGTTAAATCAAAACATTGCATTCATTAACGATTACAGCCAATTTCTTTATCTTTCTTACCTAGTATTGTACAATTCTGAAAACCACCAAAAAACCAATGCATATAAAGTTTAAACTTCTTCAGTAGCAGATACTAACAGTAGCACTGTACCATTTCCAGCGGGGTGCCGGCTCACCAGCTGTCGGCGACACGTCTGCTGAGCTCACCTGATCCATCCAGACACCATCTCGATGAGCCTCAAGGTAAATAAATATAACACGGTGCTCTCTTTAAAGAGGTATACAGAAATGCATAATGCCAGATGCAAATACCATTTTTTCACTCACGTCATGGTAAAAGCACAACATCGACTGCACGGTTGGCGCGGTGGCTGAGCAACTGGCTGCCGCGAAACGTGTTGCGGGTTCGATTCCCACACAGAACAACTCTTTGTGTGATCCACAGATTGTTGTTCCGGGTCTGGGTGTTATGTGTATGTGATATTGTATGTTTGTAAACGCACCCACGACACAGGAGAAAATCCTAGTTTGGGACAAAATAATTTTTTTTTTTTACCCACGTCTTGATACAGAACTACCTTCTGCCAGCCAAGTTGATAATTCTTTTATACCATGATGGTGGCAAGGAAGCACACGGCCCACCTGATGGTAAGCGGTCACCGTGGCCTATGTACGCTTGCAACACTTGCGGCATTACATGCGTCTTGCCGACCTTTGAAAAACCTGTTTACTCCCTTCTTGAAGAACCCCATGTTGTAGCCTACTGGGAAAACCACGACAGAGATGTTAATTGAGCTCATTCCACAATCGTCTCACACGGAACAAAAACCTTCTTCTCACACGGAAAAGGTTTGAGCATTAATCGCCATGCTTGCTTAATGCGTGTTGGCTTCAAACTTATAATTAGAAATTATAAGCCCAGATTTCCTCGCGATGTTTTCCTTCACCGTTTGTCAGTGGTGTCTAAATAATCTTAGAAAGTACATGATATGGAAAGTTGTCACATTGATACTTGCCGTTGGTGAAAACTAATTAACCCTAATTTGTGTAAACCTGATTAGTAAAAATTCTTCAGGAAACATGTGCTCATAGGGTTTTTACTCTTATTTCAATAAATTTATTTGATTAACAAGACTTAAGCGGTTTTCTAGTCAACTGACGAAAACTAAATCTTGATTTAACCAGTCATTCTCCCTTTTAGAAGTATACCCTTTCTCCGAGGACTTCCGCAGCGGTGCGGCCGGCGGCGCCGGGTCCGTTCGTAACGGCACGTTGCGGTGGGGCTCCCGGTTCGGACCGGCGCACCGGCCGCCGGCTGCCGGACTACTCGACTGCTTCAGAGCTTGCAGGTCTAGACTGGACCAGTATTTGGCGAGGAGGAAGGTAAAAAAAAAACAAATTATGCATCACTACTTCTTGGAGATCGTAATTAAACAGGTCGTCAACAAGTCTTGCTACGATAGGACACGCGAGCAGACCGATCACTTAATGGTACGAGATCAATTGCGTCCATGGGAACCTGTGTTTTGCAAAAAGAAGAATCGTACGCTCTTTTATGGAAGTCAAACCATTTTTGTTCGGTACAGAAATGACACACACACTTCATTTCATAGTTGTTGTAAAGTGTAGTGATAATAAGGTTGTCGCCCATGGACATCTGGAACACCAGAGGCGTTACAAGTGTGTTACCGGGCTTTTGGGGATTAGGAGTTAGAGGATTGTTGGGGTTTCAGGGATTGGGGAAGGGGGTCTGGGTAATTAGGCCTCCGGTAACTTCACTCACATAATAAAATACAACGTAAGCGTTGCTTCACGTCAGTTTTCTACTCGGCCGTGGTATCACTCCGGTCGAGCCGGCTCATTCGTGCCGAAGCATGGTTCCCACACTCAAGGCAATGACTAAAGTAATTCAGTACTCCATTTCAAATAACTCTTTATTTCTCCAGATCGAGCGTGGAGTCCGTCTATACGGGCAGAACGAGCAGAGGCTGGCAGTGAAGGTCTGGCTCTCCGCCCTCCGAGGAGTGAGGCATCGGAGTGACAAGTTCGCATTGTTGGGACATCTGTACCAGGCGTACATGGACTTTGGGAAGTACAGGTAAGTTTAGATTAAGATTTATTGTCATCATCAAGAAAGTCTGATAGCAACTATTGGTTTCCTGGTGATTAAAATGCCGATTGTCAAGCATGAGGGAGGATACTGGTATAAGTTACATTTTTTACTTTTATTTATCAAGTTATACGCAAGTACATTCACCAATGGAGAGGGCTAAGCTCGGAGTCATCATCATCATCGAATGACTGCTCCCGCCTGGGTGAGGCGGGAGAGAGTGTCAGACTCTTACTGACTAAAAACCACCCTGTTCCTACTCCTACACTTCGAGCCGGAGCCCCGGTAACCCGTTAAGTTCTCCGCGGCTCCGTATCGGCATCAGCCCTGTTAGACCCCATCTGTGGTGGTCTGGTGGCTCTTTGAGGCACGCTCGGATCTGGTACTGGTCGGGCGGCGAGCTACCCATGCTCGCTGTCCATTGGTGCCCTGGTGGTTAAAATGCCTATTGTCAAGCATGAGGGGGGTTCTGGTCTAAGTTACATTTTTACTTCTATTTATCAAGTTATACGCAAGTATATTCAGCAATGGAGAGCCTCTCTCTTCTGTAACTATCCGACAGATAACTAAGTTAGCGAAGTAGCCCAAAGAATCTGCAAGCTGAAGTGGCAGAGGGCCGGTCACATTTGTCGAAGAACCGATAACCGTTGGGATATAAACGTGTTCTAGAGTGGAGACCGCGTCTAGGCAAACGAAGTGTAGGGCCAGCTAGAGTGACGATATTCGCAAAGTAATTGGCAGAGGTTAGATGAGGGGGACTGGAGACCGAGCTCAGTGGCGTGCCATTAGAGAGGCCTATATATCCAGCAGTGGACGAGAACAGGCTATTGATGTTGATGATGACGTTGGTACTTCATAATTTTATTTAAACACCACTGACAAACAGTGAAGGAAAATATCGTGAAGAAGCCTGGGTTGTCTGTTTGTCTGGTATGTATCACTGGGTTAAACTCCAAAAGTACTGTATTTTTTTTATGGCATAAGCCGGTAACCGTGCAGACGGATCACCTGATGGTAAGCAATCGGCGTCGCCCATGGACATCTGAAACACCAAAGGCGTTAAAAGTGCGTTACCGGCCTTTTGGGGATTAGGAGTTTGAGGATCATTGGGGATTCAGGGATTGGGGAGATTGGGGAAGGGGAGGGTAATTGGGCCTCTGGTAACCTCACTCATACGACGACGACTGTATGGATTTACTTCAAATTTTGCATCTTATTCTTATTCATTCTTTAATACCACAATAGTAGCGTAAAACCACAAAATATCAACATCGTACTTTATATTGTACTCTCTTACTACGCATTTTTGGCACGATACCAAAAAAGTAACGTTCATATTATGATGGAATTTTATCTGGAAACCAGCCAAGGGAATAACATTGTCTAAAGTTTTGATTTGATTATTGTATTGTATATGTTTTTGTATGGTATTGTGTCGTGTCTCGTGTTCGTGAACTCGCTCCCTTGTCAAATGTGACGTAAAATATTTCTTATTAAAGACGAAAATTGGGGTGTTTTTAAGATCATGTTTCTTACGTTACTCTGTGTTCACGCGCGCCGCAAAAAGCCATCAGACCACCACGGATGGGGCCCAACGGGCTCATGCCGATACGGAGCCGCGGAGAACCTAACGGGGTACCGCAGCTCCGGCTCGAAGTGCAGGCGTAGGAACGGGGTGGTTTTTAGTCAGTTAGAGTCTGACACTTCCTCCCGCCTCACCAAGGCGGGAGCAGTCATTCGATGATTATCCCCCTTAAAAAAATCTGTGTTAGTATCATAACTATATTAAGTACGTATATTAACGTACAAGTTCATTACTGGACTGTTGGTCTCCTCTAAATAGTTTTTATGGAATAAGCCGGTAAACGAGCACACGGGTCACCTGATGGTAAGCAATCGGCGTTGCCCCATGGACACTTGTAACACCAGTGGTGTTACAAATGCGTTAATTTACGGGCTTTTTGGGGATTAGTAGTTTGAAAATTGTTGGGGATTCAGGGATTGGAGAGATTGGGAGAGGGTGGTAATTGGGCCTCCGGTAATCTCACTCATATAACGAAACACAACACAAGCGTCACTTCACGTGAGTTTTCTGTGAGGCCGTGGTATCACTCCGGTCGAACCAGCCCATTCGTGCCGAAGCCTGGGTCGCCCACATATTAGTTTTTGCGTTGAAAAAAAAAAACCTTTCCCACATAAGGATTTTCTCAAAACCCCTATTTCTTGATCACACAATGTGTTGGTTCGTGCTGGAAACGAACCCTTTACATTTCATACGGATAGCCAGTGCAGTCATCACATCTCAAATCTCATCTGTTATCCAATTTGTCTCTTTCAGAGAATCACTGGAGTTTGCGAACCGTCAGCTCGGTATATCTGAAGAGTTGGACTCCGCTCCGATGAGGGCTGAGGCCTATCTGAACCTGGCCAGAGCTCATCAGACCCTGGGTGGACTTGACAGGTAATAGAGGCATCTAATATTTGTTTATGTTAAAGGAGGCTAACAAGCAGGCGTGTCAACTGATGGTAAACCATCAACGCATCAATACCAGCATCACTAGAATTTGGGTGCGTTATCCTGGATTTTTTAGGATTTGGAAATAGAGGGTTCGGGATTTTGGGCATGGAGGCACGATGGGGGGAGAATTAGGTAACTTCGTTGATACAGTGCCTCCTCAACCTCATTCAGTGCAAATGTTTTTTCACGTCGGTTTTCTGTGAGACCGTGATATCACTCCGGTCGAGTGGCTTATCAACCAACCACCTGCCCAATAGTGCCAGGATCTAGGATCCAGGTTTTCCCTCATAAACGAATTACATAGGGAATAACTAAGCTATATACATGATTATATTTCCTCTCTTCCAGAGCCCTCTCGTACGCTCGCCAGGCTCTGTACAACGACTGCGGCGGCGGTTCCACGGCTGGTTGCGTGCATCTCACTGTAGCCGCTGTTAGTCTGGAACTGGGAGCGTTCTCTAAAGCTATGGACGCCTTCCAGAAAGCTCTGGCTGTTGCCCAGGCGCAGAATGATAATACACTGTTACTTCAGGTATGATAAGAGATATTTGAGAATTGGTTGTTGATATTTAGCCGGTGAAGGGGATGTCGTGGTGGCCCGGAGGTTTAAGACACCTACTTCTCATGCATGAGAAACCTACCAACGGCAAGTACCAATGTGACTTTTTTCCGAGTTATCTGTACTTTCTAAGATTATTTAGACACCACTGACAAACGGTGAAGGAAAACATCGTGAGGAAACCTAGGCATAATTATAATTTCTAATTAAGTATAAGTTTGCAATCACCAACCCGCATTGAGCAAGCGTGGTGATTAATGCTCAAACCATCTCATTCACTGTTTGAAATCGAAAATCCTTATTTTATTACTGAACTAGCTTAAATGCTTGGTAAAAACGTACAACACAATCTTTTGACTCGGCTGCAGTTTTTGCGAACATTCAAAGATTTGGGTTCGGAGTTTACTAATATCATAAAAAAAAAATGGTTGCCTGTAAAGTCGTTTTTACGGGCGAAGATTTTACGTGACAACGTCTTTTTCTCGGTAGAATATTTATTGATATGAATATAATTAAATTGCACAATAGGAACAAGGAATTGAATGAACTAGTGCTGCGCGCGCGGCAGACCGATCATAGTTGAGTGGGAGAGAGACGCAAGGCATTCGGCGGGCCTCTCTCTCGTTCGGTGACTCATCGTAACGTTACCGAGCGTTACACTTTTTCATAAGTGACTCCCAGCCGCAACCTAATTTAAGACGTTGTCACGTCAATAGTTGCAAAACTCCAGAAACCTTACGTAGCCTCAAAAAAAAATTTTGTCCAACATAGGGATTTTTTTTTAAGCGGGAAAAATCATCGAATGACTTCTCCCGCCTGAGTGAGGCCGGAGGGAGTATCAGACTCTTACTGACTAAAAGTCATCCCGTTCCTTCTCCTGCACTTCGAGCCGGAGCCCCGGTTACCCGTAAGGTTCTCCGCGACGAAGTTATCCCCTATGTTGTCGTCATTCGATGATTTTCCCCCCATAAAAAAGAGATAACTCCGTATTTATCTAATTGGCTTCATGCGCCACTGGTTGAAACTATATCATCTAAATCCTTCCCCCAGGTATACGTAGGTCTCTCAGAGCTCTGGCGTCGTCTCCGCGACGCCGAGCGTGCAGTAGCGTGCGCGGCGCGCGCGTGCGACCTCGGCCGCGGTCCGCGCGCTACTGACCTAAACACGCGACACCACCGCACTGCGTTGTTGCAAATGGCCGCCGCGCTCAGAGCTAGGGGGGAGCTTGGAGATGCGCATGATTATTGTAATGTGAGTATCATGGAAGAAGACAGAAAGAGAGAGAAATCTTTCATTTTTAAGTTTTTGTGGATTGGTAACAATTCTTCTTTTTTCTTCGTGTTTTAATAAAACATTATATCACGCCTTTTATCCCTGAAGGGGTAAGCAAAGGTGCACATTACGGCACTCAATGCCGCTGTACAATGTAACACCCACTTTTTACTATTTATGGTATGATTCCCATGTAATAGAGAGTGAGCCTATTCCCATATACCGCACACATTTCCAAACTCCGTGCTACTCCTGAGATTTTTAAAAACCCAGTAATACTTTTCCCAACTCGGGAATAGAACTCGAGACTCTTTGCCCGGCAGTCGCACATGCGAACACTCGGCCAACGAGGCAGTTAGCAGCAGTCTTCTTGTTTTAATGATAAAGAAGAAGATGGGTCACCTGATAGTAAACAATCAGTGCCTACTATGGACAATTGCAATGAGAGTGACAAGTACGCTTCCGACCTTTGGTACGATCTAAGGGAGTTACAAAATGTGATGCTGGCTTTATGGGGGATCAGAGATGAGACCCAGTAGCCTCTCATACGGTAAAACACAAGGCTCTGTTCATATTTCACGTAGGTCTTCTGTGAAACCGTGGTATGACTCTGGTCGAGTCGGCCCTTACAATGCTCTTCCAAGTAAATAATATTACCAGTAGCTCTTCAATTTGGTTTTCTTAAACTGACCAAATAATAAATTAGGACATTTTTATGGAATAAGCCGATAAACGAGCAATGGCGCCGCCCATGGACACCTGAAACACCAGAGGCTTCGGGGATTGGGGAGATTGGGGAGGTAATAGGGCCTCCGGTAGCCGACGAAACATACATTGATTCACTTCGTTTTTCTGCTCGGCCGTGGTATATCACTCCTGCCGAAACATGACACTTAAAGAAACATAAAAATATTTACCCCAATTTACAGGAGGCATTACGGCTAGCAGCAGTAGCAGGAGATCAAGGATGCTATGCGCGCGCTGTACGCATCGCAGGCGATGTCTACCGGAGGAAATGTGACATCGGGAAAGCATTAAGGTACACAATTTTGTTTAAATATCTACAAGACAATAATAGTGATTAAAATACATAATACAGGTCAACCTGAGAACCTAATTTTTATTCTTTTGATTCGATTAAAGAAGATATAAAACGTAGTTAACAAAACAATAAAATTTTGATATGAATACTGAGAATGACAAGAACGTTATTGGCGCCCAACATGGGCCAAGTGGTCCCACGGTGGGCGCCAACTTTTCTACAACAGATTAGATGAAAAAAAACCACATAAAGAAACAGCTGTTTATGAGCTTTTAGCTAACATTTAACTATCTTTTGACTGCACGGTTGGCACGCTGACTGGGCAACTAGCTGCCGCACAACGTGTCGCGGATTCGATTCCCGCAGCAAACAACTATTTGTGTGATCCACAGATTGTTGTACCGTGTCTGTGTGTCATGTGTATGTGAACTTGTATGTTTGTAAACGCACACACGGCACTGGAGAAAATCGTGGGGCAACAGGATTTTCGTATAAATTTTTTTTTATAGAGTTTAGAAAAAGCTTACATGCCCATTTTCACTACTATTAGTTTCTTTGTAAATAATTTTATTTATTTATTAAATTTTATTGCACATATAGCGAAATTGGTGGACTTAATGCCGTAGCCATTTTCTAACAGTCGACCATTGGGTGCAGAAAGCTAAAGCGGTAGGTGCAAAATTATAGAAAAGAAAGTATAAGGAGATAACAAACTTAAGGTAATAAAATATTAAAGAGGGAAGACATGATTGATATAATCGATAATACATAAGTAATGACTGATGAATTTTCAAGCGAACTTAAGCTTTAAAAATTCAATAATATTATCAACAGACACTACGAAGTAGCAATGGGTGCTGGCCAGGCACTGGGCGACCGGCTCGCTCAGATGGAGGCAATGGACGGCGCTGCGCGATGTCTAGAGGCGCTGAGACTACAGGGCCGGATCTGTAACTGTAGACCACTGGAGTTTAATACTAGACTGCTTGAAGTTGCTACTTCTGTTGGGGCTAAGGTAATGAATGAATGAATGAATGTCATTTATTTCCAAGTATATGGTACATTGAGGTTTTACATTAAATATTGTTTCACATACACTACCATTGCTGGTGTAGAAATATTATGTTAACCATGCTTTATAAAATAAAATAAAATAATAAAAAAAACTAGTAATTACAATAATGCCAAGTAAATTGAATCACACATTATAAGAATTTGGTTGGTACATGTCATTAAATAGAAGTAACAATGTTATTTCCATCAAAATATTTCATAAAATGTTTAAATGCTAAATACAATGTCAATATGTCAAAACGTAAATTGTCAAAATACTAAACTAAAATACTAAATACAATGTCAGTAAATGTAGTAAAAAAATGTAGTAAAAAAAGAAAAAAATTAAATTCAATGTCAAAATACTAAATACAATGTCATAATATTATATATTAGAAGTATAATGTCGAAATATTAAATAATGTCAAAACTTGTGATTTAAAAATTCATTAATAGAATAGAAGCACATGTCGAGAAGCCAAGTGAACATACGATATTTAAATTTACTTATTGGTAACATTTTCAGGTCAGGTGATAATTTATTATAAATTTTAATTGCCATGCAATGTACATTATTACTGTATAAATGTAATCTTTGTCTAGGTACCAGTAGTTTTCCAGGATTTTTATTATTTAATCTAGCAGAGATCTGTTCATTTAATAGAAATAAATGTGAGTACTTTTTTACAAAAACACAAATTTCATAAATGTAAAGGCATGGCAGAGGAAGTACTTTTAGTTCCTTGAATAATGGTCTGCAATGATCCAAATATTCAGCGCCACCTATGGCTCTGATACATTTTTTTTGCACTATAAAAGCTCTTTGCACATCTACTGAGTTGCCCCATATCACTAAACCGTAACGCAACACCGATGAAACATAACCGTGATAGGCATTTAGACTTGTTTCTTTACTGGATACTAACCTAAGTTTTTTCAAGGCATACACAAACTTATCTAACTTGTTGCACACTCTTTCTATATGTTCTTTCCAATCGAGTTTGTTGTCAATTACAATACCTAAAAATAAAGCCGACTGTACTGGTTGTAAAATAGTATTTTTGTGTTGTATTGCTGTCGGTATAATTGTTGAGTTATATGTTTGAAATTTAACTAATTTTGTTTTATTAATATTTACTTGCAGATTATTGTCTTCTAACCATTTCATTACATTTGTTAATTCAGTATTAGTTTCAGTTTCCATATCCGTTTTTTCCAAACATCCTATCGTCAATGTAGTGTCATCCGCAAATTGAACACAGTTATGTTTAAGACATTGTGATAGGTCATTTATATATATTATGAACAGCTGCGGGCCCAGTACACTCCCCTGTGGTACGCCAGAGTTGTTATTTTTTAATTCGGAGCTATATGTTATTCTAGTACTGTTTACAATTTTAGAGATAACAGTCCTTTGTTGGCGGTTGGACAAATAGCTTTTGAACCAATCGTGAGATTTACCTCTTATACCATATTTTTCTAGCTTGTAAAGTAGACGTTTATGTGAGACAAAGTCAAATGCTTTGCTCATATCTAGAAAAACTGATAAAGTTGACATTTTATTATTAAGAGCTTCACTAATTCGTTTTACTAAAGAATAACTGGCTAATGTTGTTGAACTCTGTTTTCTGAAACCAAACTGATTCTCCACAATTAGATTATGTTTGTTTAGGAAGCTGGACATTTTAACATGCATGGCTTTCTCAAAAATTTTTGCAAATACTGGTATCAATGTAATAGGTCTATAGTTATTTAGATCGTTGTGTTTGCCCTTTTTGTATAATGGTTTTATTATGGACTCTTTCAGTCTAGTTGGAAATACACCTTGTTCAAACGAGAGGTTAATCAAGTAGCTAAGCGGCTGTGCTATGATTTTCGCGCTTAACTTTATTGTTTTTGTGTCAATTTCATCATATCCCGTAGAATTTGTGTTGTTTAGGGAATTAATAATTTTTATTATGTCAGATTCGTTCACTGGTGTCAAAAACAATGTGTTTATATTAGTGGTCATGTTAATATTATTTACATCTAAATTATTGTTGAAATTATTTGTTTTCGTGAGTTCAATGAAAAAGTTATTAAAATGATTAGATATGTCAGTGGGATCAGTAATTACTTTATCATTAACTTTTATATCGCTTATGTCATTTTTGTTAACATGTTTGTTTAGGTTATTTTTTATTATAGACCACGTGGCTTTACATTTATTTTTAGAATGTAAGAAATAATTATTATTGTTTATTTGTTGTGATTTTATTATACATTTCTTCAAAATATTTGTATAATGGCGGTATTTTTTTTTTATGGTAGACTTTGTTTACAGCGTTGTGTTGGTATTCATAATATAGCATTCGTTTTCTGATGCAAGATACCCTTAAGCCCTTACTAAGCCATTTATTTTTTATTAATTTGTTGTTTGATCTAACTCGTATTTCTGGAAAACATAATTTGTGAAATAAAATAAATAGGTAAGAAGAAGAAGAATCAATATAACTTTTTTTTAAATTATTCAATGACTATGGTATTAATATAAATTCAATACTATACTATTATTAAACAAATCAATAAATATGTGACTGCCTCGTTGGCCGAGTAGTCGCAAGTGTGACTGCCGGGCATGGGGTCTCGGGTTCGATTCCCGGGTCGGGCAAGTATTAGTGGGTTTTATAAAAAATTCTCAGTAGTAGCACGGAGTCTAGAATTGTGCCCGGTATATGGCAATAGGCTCACCCCCTATTACATGGGACTCATATCATAAATAGTAAAAAGTGGGTGTTACATTTCCAGACTGAAAGACTAGAAGTCTTTACTAGATACTTAGAGGTGTACCAGTATTTTACAGACTTGTACTACCAGCCGAGTTATTTGATTCAGTACTGAGACAAAAGCTACTATTATTACTATTATTTACTATTACAAAAAATATTCGTTACAACGAACTTTTGTTACTTCATTTTTAATTTTTAACAGTAGAATAAAATTGACAGTTGACAGTTTTCAGAATGGAAGCCACTTTAGCGCTTGTCTACAGAGAGAGTAGAAACCAAAATGTATGGAGATGACACTGACAAGTGTCAAAATTTATGTCAATTCCATTTAATTTGGTTTTCTCTTCTACATGTATACAGCGCTAAATGGCATTTGGCTACAGCTGCTGATTACCATAAATATTAATGAAAATCTGCCATAAAACTGCATGTGATTTGCAACCCTTGTTGCATAGTAAAACTACAAAAACTGACTTCACTACAAAATTCATCTCCCATTCCCAGATGCTAGTCCGTCGCGTCCGCCTCCGTCTAGCGGAGATATACACGGGACTGGGCGACAACGAGGCGGCCGCCAGACAACGTCGCGCCGCCGCGGCCTGGGCCGCGCCCGCCTGCGCTAGGTGTCGGGAGCCCTTGGCGGAGCGAGCCGAGCCACTAGCGTCACTGCCTTGCGCCCATATCGTGCATCATGCGTGAGTATATACTGGGTTTTGGTCATCTACAATAGGTTCTGACATTGTAACATATGTATAGTATTTTATACAGTTACTAGCGGACCCGACAGACGTTGTCCTGTAATAATAGGTATAGATAAATAACCTTGAAACCGACTGCATCGCCATCTGCTGGGCTGATTTGTAAATCTAAATCATTCCCTTGAACACACAAAAAATTTCATCAAAATCGGTCCAATCGTTTGAGAGAAGTTCAGTGACATACACACTCACAGAAGAATTATATATATATAAAGATACAGTTATTAATTAATGTACACTTGACTACCCATATCAGACTCCTGTTGCTGCTCCATCCAAAGGTTGTCTGTAAGAAATCGCCTTGTGCTATAAGACCGCCCATTGTACACTATTTTTGTAAGGTAATAATGTCCTGTAGTACGATTGTGTGGTGTATAATAAAGCATATATTATTATGATGTATATTACATAACATATAACATCACGCCTTTTATCCCGAAGGGGTAGGCAGAGGTGCACATTATGCCACTGTACAATATAACACCCACTTTTAACTTTTCACTATTTATGTTACGAGTCCCATGTAATAGGGGGTGAGCCTATTGCCATATACCGAGCATATTTCCAGACTTCGTGCTACTACTGAGATTTTTTTTTAAAACCCAGTAATACTTTGCCCGACTCGGGAATCGAACCCGAGACCCCTTGCCCGGCACTCGCACTTGCGACCACTCGGCTAATGAGGCAGTCAATTAGAGATTTGAGCATTCAAGAAGTTACTATTGACAACAATATTCAAAGAAGTTCTCACAATTTTCGTATCAAATTGGTTCCAGCTGCATGCCAGAGTCGTGGTCCCGCCGCTCGACCCGCAGCCAGTCGGGTGCGGGCGTGGAGTGCGCCGAGTGCGCCTCCCCCCGCGCCCCCCGCGCGCCGCCCCCCGCCCCGCCCGCGCCGCGGACCCTGCCTGCCCAGGTACTGTATTTAATGCTTTGTTCGCACTACGATTGTGTTTTAGTCGAGTAACGAGTAGCCTTCATTCGCTTCTGTCTTAAAATCGAAGCGAGAGAGAACTATAAAAAACTCGCTACTCGATTTAAATACTAACGCAATACGAACAAGGTACACACGTAAAACCGCTGCTACTCCCGCATACTAGAATTTACAGTAGATGCAACCATGCAAACACCAGAACAGTGAAGTCCGCATCACAAGAGTATCAACTGCCTTCGTTTCCGCAACAAAATAAATCTGAATGAAGTTTAATATATTTTATAGGTTAGATGGACAACTGAGCACACAGATCACTCGATGGTAAGCAATTGCCACCTAGAATCGACAACCGTAACAAGAGAGAAGATAGAAGTGTATATAGCCTTTGGAAATTAGAGTTCTGAGGATTGAGGATTTGTGGATTGAAGAAGGGATTTAGCCCCAGTAACCTCACTCGTATGGCTTCACACAACACTTCAGTTATTTCATACGACACTGTAAGGGCGTGGTATAACTCCGCTCAAGCCGGCCTATTGGTACCGAAGCCCGACTCCCACGAATTGTTTTTTATGGGATATGCCGGTAAACGAGCGGACGCCTGATGGTAAGCAATTGGCGTCACTCATGGGCACCCGGAACATTAGAGGCGTTACAAGTGCGTTACCGGCCTTTTGGGGATTAGGAATTTGAGTGGGGTGGGTGAGGATTAGGAAATTGTCAATTATACATTTTTGAGAGATATTTACAGACTAGACTTATTTATAGTCTAGCTTGATATTAAAAAATTGCTCTCATTCTACATAAATACGCTTGAATTTCCAGGACTTCCCGTTCGGTACACCGCCAACGCTCCGCGAATCAGACCTGAACTCCATCATATCTGACCATAGCAGTCAACAGGCCACTTCCAGCGTTTAATTGTTTATTCATTTGACAACTGACATTAATGACAGGTATTATTAAAACTATCGTAGATGGCAGCACTGTAGCTTATTTCTTGTACGACCATTTATAATTTGTCATTTGTTAGTTTTATGTATGTTTCTTTAGCTTTTTTAACGTATTTAACGAGTAAGCTACAGTAATGCGATTTATATTATTTTGTTTAATTACTTATAGAAATTTAAATTACTTGCGTAAAATCTGTTTAATATTACAGAATAATAATTATTATGTTAATAATTATACTAAGTTTGACTTTCATGTTTTAGTGTTAAACCTTAACATATTAAAGTTGCAATTTCTAACATAATTTACTTTTAAAACTGTACGTGTTACCAATTACTATTAATTATTAATAATTATGATTACTATTATATTGAATTTAATACCTATGACCATCACGCTCGCTATGCGCAGCGGTATGAATAGGTGTTGTCGTTTTCGGTGCAATAAAATATATTGATGTCTAAAGGTTATACTGTGGTGTAAAGTTCTAATTTATATATTATTGTGAATATAGTGGTTTTCATATGTGGTTACTATGTATATTATTATAGTGTTAACATTGATATAACAAAGCTAAAAATATTACTAGGCAATTTAACATCACGCCTTTTATCCCCGACAGGGTAGGCAAAGGTGCACATTACGGCACTTAATACCACTGTACCATGTAACACCGACTTTCACTATTTATGTTATGAGTTCCATGTAATAGGGGGTGAGCCTATTGCCATACACCGGGCACAATTTCAAACTCCATGCTATCGAACCCGAGACCCCTTATTTGGCAGTCGCACTTGTGTGTTACCTCGATAAAAGAAAAGTTTTGAAATCCCCTGAAGAAGTCTAAAAAATATGAGAACATAAGTGAAATTACTGCTTGCTTGTGTAAGTTAAGATGTCAACTAAATAACTAAATAATAAATAAACCTATATTATGAACATGTAAATACATGGTAACTAAGAACTAGTATTGTTGTCTAGTTTATTGTTTGTTTATATTTTACAGATCCGTTTGCCTATCGGCAAAGGCCTCCTCCAACTTTATCCATTCCTATATTTAATAAAAAAAAAAAACAAAAATGCAGTTGACTGTCTGACGTGTGACTGGCTGTCACATGTCGCATTTTCACTAGCATAAAAGAAAAACAATTGCATTTTGTGAAAGTATTATTAAGATATTCGGTTAACGAATTTCATTAATCACATAT